ATATATAGATAGATAGATAGATAGATAGATAGATAGATAGATAGATAGATAGATATGGGTGATTCTTTTTAAACATGACAATTCGGAACAAACATTTTCTTCAAATTTAAAGTCTTCAAAATAATCTAAATTTTTTTTGTATATTTATTTAGTTACATTTATTAATATCTTACAGACAGCAGTGCAGTTTTTTGACATTTGCTCATGAAAAAAAAATAATAGAAATTCACCAAATTTTGAATGCCAGGAAAATGATATATTAGCTCAGAAATTTAAAAAATAGTTATTTTAAGTTAATATAAAATTCAAAATTTAAAATATAAATTTCATTTGAAGTGAGAAGTCATTTTAAAAAAAATGAAGTTCTTTGTTTTTTTTGAAGTGTGATAGATATCATATAAAAAGTGCTTCCGCTATTAAGGATCGCATCCTCTATTATTCCTATAAAAAACTCTATTAAGTAAATGTAATAGTTAAAGCGTAAACATATTTTTTTTCCTAATTGATTTTTAATATATTATGCTATTTTGTTTTGCTATTTTAAACTTCAATAAATTTCACAGTATTTCGTTAAAAATACTGTTCATGTCAGAAAAAAAGATCGTGTTAAGTGTGCAGAACATGATTTTTTTATTTATTGCAGAAAGTTTCTGTATTTAATTAGAAGTAGTATTTATGCAATGTGTATTGCGATTATACACTATTTGGTCGAAAGTATCTGGACACTCCTCAATGGTATGTATTTAGAGCGTCCTGAACCACATATTAATATTTTGTTGGGTTGCAGGCAAACGATGACAGCTTGCACACTTCTGGGAAGACTTTCCACAAGTTCTTGATAGGTGGCTATATGAATTGACTCCCAGGCTTCCATCACAGTTGACGTGAGGAGGGTCGATTCAGCTGGCTGGCTGTGTAATCTGCGCTCTAATTCGTCCCCAAAGGTGTTCTATGGGATTTAGATTGGGGCTCTGAGAAAGCCAATCCAGTTTTTGAACACCCATTCCGTCATACTAAGTCTGTGCAAGCCTCCATGTGTGTATGGAACAGTTATCCGTTCTGGAAGAGATATGGACCGAAATATTGCCATATAGTTGAGAGTGCAGCAATCTCCATAATGTCAACATACATCTCAGAGATGATGTTTCCAGTCACAGGAACTAAAGGACCCAGGATAAACCAGGAGAAGCACCCCCACACCATTATGCTTCTACCACTATAACAACCGAGTGTCCGGATACTTTTGGCCACATAGTGTATATGAAAAGCAGAAGTCTGAAAATATGGAATCTAATTTTTTCTGGGTGGGAATTTTTCTCACGACTCATAGTTTTCAGAATAATCTGCTGGTTTCTCAGATGAAAATACAATTCTAGTGGCAAGAGTTTTAAAAAGAGTCCTAAAACTTACCATCTTACATAAGCGTTAATAGGAAAACAGTGCAACGAGATAAAAAAAAATTAAGAGATGAGAGACAATTTTTGAAAGTCTTAGAGTTAGTTGTCTCTTGTTCAGATTGGTTTTTTTATTTGAAGAGATATAGTACATACTATATAATACTATATACTATATATACTATATACTATATATACTATATATACTATATACTATATATACTATATATACTATATACTATATATACTATATACTATACATACTATATATACTATATACTATATATACTACATACTATATATACAATATACTAACTAATATGCGGGTTAGTATATACTACTATATACTAACCCATTACGAGAATTAGAAGTTACATTAACTTTGTTGATATGTGGTTGATGTTTCAAATCTATGCTGTTTTATAAAAACTGTTTCATAAATACAGCTTGATTTCATACAGGGAGAATATTAAGTTTGATCATAAATTAATTTTGAAGGAAATATCACGTGCCTCATTATTCTTATAAACGGCATTTTAGTCAAAGCAGTACATACATCACAAAATGAATCTCTAAAATTTAATTGTAAAATTAAGTTTCGTAGGTATAAGAAAAACATATTTTAATAAAAACAAAAGACTCACCTGTTTTTCTTCATGAAACCAAACTTTTTGAGGTATGAATCAAAAATCACATACCAAACAGCAGCTGTCATCATGCAGTGGCCAGAAGGGCTTCCTATATAATTTCAATAATTAAATTATAACATCTTGTTACTAACAACGGTAAATATTAGCAGCCCGTTATAAATATGTCATACGTTTTATGAATGCTATCATAAATGTTCTTCGTATATACTCTCACTTTGAATCATACTGACACTACTAAAGTTTAAAATCATCAAAATCTCGTAACTTATAGTAAAACAAAACTTTGAAATTTATTTTAATTTGTAAAGAATAAAGTAAAAATATAAAAATTAGAGACACAGTGGCTCAGAAATAAAATTCTACGTACCTGGGCCAGTCTCACATGTCATATAAAACTGCTGAATGTTAGGAAATGTAATTCCCGTTCGATTGTAAACTTGTGTTTCGTGGATCCACCAATAAGGTCGTTCTCCATGAACAGTCCTGCAACGAATGCAAGTTTAAGAATTTTCATAAAAATTTAAATAAATAAATCGAATATGTAGGTATTTTAAGAGCAGGTTTTAAAAATGGGGAAATAGTACTTTTGCATTCTTGAAGAAAATGAAGCTATTGGGGCAACAAAAAGTGAGCAAGGTTTCTTGCGATCGCTTCCAAAAATATGCTTCATTCATATCTGTTTTTACAAGACTTGTTTTTATATTAATATTTTATTGTAAGCATAAACATGTTACATCTGATTAGAGCCCCTGAATTAGACTAATACTGTTACATAATAATTAGAATACTGTTAAACCATCAGAGACACAAAAATCCCTTTTAGCTGATAAACTAGTAAAAGATATTACAACCAGAAGTGGTCGGGTGATTAAGAAACCTATTAGATATTTAGATGACTGGGAAAAAAAAGCATTTATTTTTAGGCTTATTGGTTTCAATGCTTATTTTGGAAATGTTTCTTTTTGTTCTTAGATATACTATATAATGCATTTAGTAATTTTATATGTAGTTAAAATTTATAATTATTGCTTGTTTACGCATTTTTAGGAAATGTTCTAGTTGATTAAATAATATTTAATCAAGGTGGGAGGATGTCTCGTAATAACGCTTGTAATGACGTCATCCTTCATAATCTGTAATATTTTATTCATTAGTTTAATACTTATATGAATCCGAATGGCAACAGTTTATCAGTTTATGTTTTGTGGAGAATGTTAAGAATAGAAGTGGATCACTTCATAACTTGTAAATATTGTAATAAAGGTTTATAGAAAATTAGTAAGAGTTTTACGATGCATTAGACATTGCATGACTTGTTTCCATATTAATATTTTATCGTAAGCATAAACATGTTACATCTGATCAGAAGCTCAAGATTTCATGTTAAGAAATTATAATTTTTTTTTTAATTACGTCCATCAATTGCTCTCTCGAGCATGAGAAGTCTTGCAGTCCAATATAACAAAGAAATATCTCCAGGGGCGGAGAGCGTCTTGAAACTAGAAGAATTACGGGCCTCCTGGAGGGCAGAGCAGTTCCATAGATGCCCGCCATTCATGTGGGCCCTATTTGCACGTAGAGTATAGTTAGGAGAGTCAGAAAGACCAACAGGGTGCAAGTGAAAGTGTTAAGAAATTATAAAAACTACTTATTATTTATATTCTTTACTATACTTAAAAAGCATAATTTTTCTAGTAATTACCTTTTCAAATTTTAAAAAAAAAGTGAATGCATTTATATTTTAACGTTTGTACTCAGGACTAATTCTTATAATATTATTTATATTTTATAATAAAAAAAATTTTCCTTTATAATGGTACTAATGGTACAACAAAGTGTGAAATATATATTCAAATAATTTTATGAAATATGCTTTAAGGAAATTTAATGGAAATTTACTGCTTGAGACAGTATAACGAGCCCCATTTTTATAGTTATTTATGAGGGAATATTTTAAAAATAGTTTTGGGAGAAACAACACAATTATATACCATGCATGTCATAAGATATATCTGTGTCTTGTGCTACGTGCATGGACACTAGCAAAGTACCTATTAAGTCACAAAAACTTGTAACACTTTGATGTTATGGGGAAAAACAAGTTTTTATCAATATATAGCCCAAGCTCGTGAAAAAAACACGTCAGCTTTGGAAGAAATGTTTTTATTGCAATATTTCCTTAAGCCCATTATTGGTGAAATTTCAATACTGAATTTTGAGTTAGTCATCGTACAGATTAGAGGTAACGATAAAAAAAACTTTTTCGAAAAAAAAAACTGTCTCCTTACCATTTGAGCATCTGGTTAACCCATTCACATATCACAGTTACCCACATGATTTTCTTTCCCACTTTCCAGTCCAAAGCGAAAAAAAGGGGGGAAAACACTAAAAACGCATATCGGGGATCAAAAAGATTCGAAATCATGAAGAACACATCACTTTGTTGAAGAAATCTACAAGAAAAAAATCAGTCATTAAGAACTCAAACTAGAAATCAAACTTACAAATTTTATAAAACGAATTAAGAACGTCATGCTGTTCAATTTCCATAATTTATTCAGTATTTTTCGCTAATTCATTCATCGATTTAAAATAAGTTTAAGTATTGCGTTGAATCATTTTAGGTTTAATTGTAAAATCAAACTTGTTAATGATAATTTAAACTAGAAGGTATATGTATAAATATAATATTATGTATTTTCATGGATAAAGAAGTTTTTGTCAAACATCATTCATTAGTATAAAAATATACTATCTGGTCAACAGTATCTGGATACCCGATGGCATGGACTTAGAGTGTCCTGAGGCACATATTAATATGATGTTGGTGAGGATAATCGATATGGCTGGATACGTAATTTGCTCTCTAATTCGTCCCAATGGTATCTTACGCGATTTAGATCAGGGCTCTGAGAAGGCCAGTCGAGTTTCTGAACACCCATTTCGTCAAATCACGTCTGTTCAAGCTTCGATGTGTGAATGGAGCTGCTGGAAGAGAAATGGGCCGAAATATCGCCATAGAGTTGGGAGTGCAGCATTGTTCAGAATGTCCACATAAATCTCAGGGTTCATGTTTCCAACCACAGGAACTAACGAACCCTGGCTGAACCACGAGAAGCAACCCCACACCATTATGCTTCCGCCACCATAACAACCGGGTGTCTGGATACTTTTGATTGGATTATTTATTTGAGTGTATTATTTTTGTCTAAAAATCGATTCTCAATAGCTTCAATCAACTATTCAAGTTATCTTTAAAAAGTCTCCTTTTTCTTAAGGAGGGAAATTTCACCGTCCCGCCCACATTCGGGCATACGGAAGAGATGTCTCGCCGTCACGACAGCACCTACGAGGGCCGCCATCCGGACACCAGCACAGTGCCCAGCTGATCGACCAGATCGGCCAGCTCCACCCGTGTCATTTATTGAAACTTTAAATTTACGAAGATTACAAAAGATGGCAACACATATGTAAACTTATTCCGAGAGCGCCGCCTTATAGTGCAATTTGCCGACGGCACTCCCTTATAGTGAGCAACAACAGTGAAAACGATGATCTAACGGGAAGTGGAAGCAAACAAGGAGTGGGTCGTGAATCACAAAGATGATTGAAACCACAATTACATTGCTTAGGAGCAAGTAAACAATAAATAAATACCGTTGAGGAAATGACAAAATTTGTACACTGAGAACAAGTGTAAACATAAAAAGGACTTAACCCTGAGAATTGTAAAATTTGTACACAAATTACAATACAAAATTAAGGCCGAAACAAGCAATAAAATCGAACACTGCCCCATCCATACAAAACCAGACAGTGGTGATGCAGATTTTACATGACATTTGCACAAATGAACTATTATACAGTGTTCCTTTTTTTGTAAATAAAAAAAAGAAGAAAGAAACATGCTTTCTTAAAAACAAAATGTAGGAAAGATTTAACCTTAACGGTTATATGATAAAATTCTTAATGTAATTTAATGCATTCAAATTTTTTGTACAGAAACGTTATTGTTAAAACGTTCTGATTTTAAAATTTAAAAAAAAAAATAGTAAAGCAATTTACCTTGCTTGTAATCCTTCTATTACTGGCACGCTATTTTCATATACTATGGCCATCGCCCCCTGGAGAATGGCTGCCATGACTAAAAATAAATGAAATATGTAATACAACAACCTAATGGTTAATTACGAACGTTGCATAAATCTACTATGTCAAATTTTAAAAATTAATAGTATTCCAATCTATTCTGGAAAATTATATAAACATTTAATTTTAAAAAAAAGATGTCAAAACATATGAATATTTTTTCTTATTTTGAAAGTCATATAGTTTTCTGCTGTCTATAATTATTCAGATAGATCGTCTAATCACCATCAGCTTAATTATTGATAACTTATTTTAAAATTCCAAGATTAACAAAGAATTACGAGTTAATATTAAGAGAGTGAAAAGGCGACCTATATTTGTAAAAACATTGCCCAATGTTTTGTCCATAAAATATGAGATTGTTTGTTCTATTATACGTAACATGAATCGGACACGTGACTCGTTTATACATAACGTGATCAGTGACATCAGCCTCGAAAAAATTCCGTGTGTCATACTGCGCAATCTCAATGCAAGAACAAAAAGAATACACGTGCTGGAATATCCGCTGTTGATCTTGAATTTTCTCTCGACATGATAATCTTTACTGTAGCGTTCCTTTTTCTCGGAGGAAAAAAAAAAGCAAACATTTTGGTGATATTTTAAACGCTTTTGCATTCTTTTTATTTAATTCTCAAATGAAGGTGTGCGGACAATTTATAAATGTTGTGGATATGCATTAGATACATAAAATTTCCTGTTTATTACACATCTTTAGATAAATTAAATATATTTAGAGGTATTGCATACATTTATTTACATTGCATAGGTTCATACATATTATATATGCTAATACAAATGATATAGAAAATTGCTTACATTTAAAAATGCAACACCGATCTTGCAGTACAGAAGTAAATGCTCGAAAATGGCTTAAAGTCATAAAGGCCATGTTCACAATTTTCTTTTAATTTCAGGGCAAAATTGCGAGAGAAAGTTTATATTTTGTTTAATTAAACTAAACTAGTTGCAAGTAGTAAACTTAAAGTAATCATATTAATTTTAAATAGCGAATAAATCTTAGGCTATCTTGTTTATTGAATAAAATAAGAATTTCTCGTCACCTTTAATTTTTCAGTGGTTTTAATTAAGAACAACCTTAATAATCAAAGTGCCTCAAATATAACTTCAGAAATGTATCGATATGAAACGTCAATAGTAATTTTCTAGAAAATCAATTTTATTATTTGAAAACCAAATTATATTTAGTATAATATATAAATGCTAGAAATATACTGTCTCGTTTGCAACACAAATCACATTGAGCAGAAATTATCTTTATATTAAGATTGTGGCATGAGATAGTGTGTTAAGATTGTAATTGTGTGAAATTTAGAGAGCTAAATATCTATCAAAACTTACTGTAGTATCTAATAATATGAAAAGTACGAACAATTCAATGTTAATTAGTAAAACTAAACGGCTATCAATATAATAAAAGTACGACTTATAAAAGCAGAGGGACAAAATAAGAGTATTATTATCACTATATAAAGTACATATGATTTTTCAATGAACCTCTTTATCATTCAAATTATTAAGTAAAATATATAGTTAGTTAAATAGTTAATTTTAGTTAAATATATATAGAAATATGTTAACAACAGAATTGTGTTATTCTAGATTAATAAAATAATTTTTGATTTTTTTTCATTAATCATAGCTATTTTATATTAACTTTCGTGATTTCTTCTTTTTTAAATATTGAAAAAAAAATAGAAATAGAAAATAGTACGTAAATTTGAAACAAATTTTACTCTAGTTAATGAATAATAGGAGAGGAATCATGTTAATAGACAAACTGTATTGAAATGTAGAAAAATTTCAAAAAAAGTTAAGAATTCCTCTTACTATTTTTTTAAATGCTTATTCCTTATCTACTAATATCTCATCTATACTTTTTAGTGTGAGTTTAATTGTTTCTACTGTTTTTAATAAATCTGGCATTAATTTAATGATGAAACACATTATTAATTTTATAAAAAATAGGCTGCTAAAACTCGATTTATTAGTCTTTTTGTTGAATTACAAAAAGAAAATATATAACTTACAGCTATGAAAGACATGAATTAAGAACTAAATTATAAATTATTCAATCGATAAATGTTTTAAAATTAATAAATAATTCTTTTTAATGGTTGTATTTATAAAAAATGTATGTTTCATCTAAATTTTACTCTTTTTTTCGTATCTACATATTTGAAAGCACATAACCTTGTCTAATAAATATTTTTGAAAATATCTTTTATAATGTTAAATCAAAAATTGCTAAAATATTTCTGTATGCTTGAACTAAAAGCTGAAAATTTCATGGTTAACTGTTATAGTGATGAATGACCAAATAATTTTTTATACATTTTGCCAAAAGTTGAATGAACTACTGTATAAATATTTTTATATATTTTTTCTGAATAAAGAATATTTAAGGAATAACAATTAAGATGACAAATGGTTAAATAATTTTTTCAATATCCTGTGAAATGGAAAATATAATATGAATATAGCATAAATATTGCTTTATGTTTGAACTAAACAGTGAATAATTAAAGAATAACCTTATTAATGAAAAAAAGGTTAATTAATTTTTAAATATTTCGTTAAATGTCGAATTAAAATGTATAAATATCGCTATTAGTTTGATCTAATTATGGGTATTAAAGAATAACTTTATTGATGATAAAACATTAAGCAATTTTTTTTAAAATATCTTGTAAAATGTTGAATAAATAACTGCATAAGTATTACTATATATTTAAACTAAATAAAAAGCAATTAAAGGATAATTCATAATGAGGAAAGGTTGATCGGTTAAGGTTTTTAATATTCTTGTAAAATAACTAATTAAAAACAGCACAAATATTTCGATACGTTTGAACGAAACGGAGAATATTTTAAAGATAGCCTTAAAGGAGGAATGAATAAAACAATTTTAATTTTACAATAACGCGAGGTTAAAAAATTTTTCTAATTTTTTGCAAAATCTTCAATAAATAACTGAATAAGTATAATATTACTATATGTTAGAATTAAATAAAAAATATTAAATATTTTTCATGATGATGAGGGAAAAAATAATTTCTTAAATATCTTGTAAAATATTCAAGTAATAACGGCATAAATAATTCTATACTTTTGAACAAAACGGCAACTATTTTAAAGATAAGTTTAAAGACGAATGATCAAACAATTTTAAGTTTACAATGATAAGTGGGTGAATAATTTTTTAAATATCTTTCAAAATGTTAAATAAATAACTGCATAAGTTTCGTTTGAACTAAATGAAAAATAGGATAATTCAGGCCGAAAAGCTAAATAGTTTCTTAAATATCTCGTAAAATATTGAATTAATAACATCATAAATATTTATATACGTTTGAACAAGACAAAGAATATTTATTTGAAAGATAACCTTAAAGAACGAATGGTTAAAAAATATGTAAGTTTAAAATGAAGCGTGGTTAAATAATTTTTTAAAAATCTTGTAAAATTTAAAACAAATAACTGCATAAATATAACTATATGTTTGAAATAAATGCAGAATCATTAAAGAAATGGAAAATTATTTAAATTATGAAAATCGTTTTCATTCATACTTTTCGCAAACAATGGTAAAAAAAAAGAATAAAAATTTAATTACTGTTGTATGGAAATTATTTATTAAAAATTGTAATTAATTACTAATATAAAGAAGTATATTTACCGGGTTTAAAGAAGCAACCACTGATGATGAGCAAATAACAGGAAATTCGTTTGATCAACCTTCCCTTTAATTCAGTAAACTCTCAACCTTTTTAGCACCCGGTAAGGTAAGAAAATGGGGAAAATTTTCAGATATTTATACCCGAGATGGCTGGGACAGCTGTTTACAATATCCACAAGTTATTACTTGTCTCCCCCACCTCCCTCCGATCAGATAGCGGCTCTTCTTTTATTTTATTATTATTTTCACTTCTTTCGCTCTGATTAGGATTGTTTGTTATTCGAAGAAAGTTCTTTCTTACCATTTTGCTTTCTTTATTAATTGATTTTATTCCACTGTTATTAAATTGCAACATAAAGTGGTGATGTTTTTTACTCAATTAATTTTAGTTTTTTTGTTTCAAATGGGCATTTGAGTGATTTTTTTTATTTTTAGATCAGAAATAAAGCCTAATATTTCATGCATCATTCATTTAATTCAATTGGTTATTTTTTTCGTTCTACCTAACGCTATAATAAAATTATAATATAAATTGAATTTCCCAATTGCTTGTTTGAGTAAAATTTATATTTTCCCTCTTGTGTCTTTTCATCACTTGAAAGAAATAATCCTAGTATTTCATTCATAGTCATGCAAATTTTATTCTTTATTTATAGTAATTGCATAATTTACAAATTCAAAAAAGGTCTTCATGAAAAATTATATATTTTTATTTAATGTTTAATTTATGTGAGTTCTTAAGTAATGAATTATTTTAATAAAAAAGAGAACAAATTTTTAAGAAAACGATTCTATGTCTGACGCAGTTTTAAAATAGTTTTCTTATTCATAATTTAAAACTTTTGATGTGAGAGAAGAAAAATTTTTTCTTAATATATTGTAAGTTGTGCTTCACAAGTGCTAATTTTGATGTAATATTTTATTTTCACAAAAAAATTCAGAAAAAAAATTTTTTTTTATGAAAATTTGTCTGTTTTTGTTCTTAAGGTATACATATATTTATTTAGTTTTTATTTTTAATGATATAGAACAATATGCAAATATATTACTACTAAACTTCATACTCTCATTCTATTGTTAAATTCCACTGGTAAGCAATTCCATGAAAGTGTAAACTTTTAAGTGAAATTTTTTTTTTATAAATTGTATATTTTGATTTTTAAAAATATGTTCAACAATAGCCAAAGTCTACTAATTCATGTTTCATTTTTGATAATCGTACGCTTTTTGAATCTAGCAGCATTCTAAAGTAATCACATGGCTGACAAGTGAATCGTTCACATGTGTGCTGAAATTGTTTTCTTGAAAAACACTTATAAAATAAAAGAAATATATCTTTCTTTTGCAATATTTTGATAAAATTACGTATATAGTACAAAATGTAAACATTTAAAACATAGTCTTTAAGTCATTTTAAGTTTAACATATAAAATTAAAGTAACTTTTTTTGTGTCATTCCGAAAATTTTGAATTGTAAGATACACAAATTCTTACATCGAATTAATCTTCGTAATTTTAGATAACAAACGTCTAAATTTGGAGGGGATCGGTCGAATAGGTCATTGAGAAATAAAAATTTTAAAAGTTTTGATTTCTTTCAAAGGGAGGAATACGCAAAACGCGAAAATAACGTTAAAATGGGGCACCAATTTGAGTTCTTTTATTTATGTTCCTTTACGCAGCACATTCTTGAAATTCTTCTAAAAATTTAAATTTAAGGCTGTTCTTGATTGCTATATTTATTTTCGTACATTTTTAGCCAGAGCTTTTTATACTGCTTAAGAAAATTACGTAAAATATCGCAGTTTGAAGGAGAGTCTCAGTTTTGTTAAAGGAAAAAGCATTGTTGGTCTAATTTATTGATGTTTATTATTGTAATAATGTTAATATTAATGTTGGTCCAATGTATTTTTTTCACCAACGCTTCAGTTTTTGGGCTTATGAAAATATTCAAGAGTTATGAACTATATATTTGTTTTAATAGTTTCCATCTAGGTGGATAAATATTTTTAAATTAGCGAAAATCGATATCAACAACTGCCGAAAATACAATCGATAATTGTATCGATTTGCGAAACTATCGGTGTAAATTGAGTGCGTCAAAAAGTGATTATCTAAATGCATGATTCAAATAGTGCGTGTAAATTTCTTTAGAAAAGGAAAGTAATTTTTTCTTTTTTTTTTTTTTACTTTTCAAGAGAAAAATCTTTCTGCAACATTCTGCGACAGTGCATAGTGGGCCAGCATCCAAGGTAACGTGGCCAAAATTTGTATTTCGATAAAAATTTTTATAAAATTTGGGGGGTTTTATTTAGGGGTTTTTATGTGCAGGTAANCAGACCATAATGCCCATATATATACATGTAGTATACATGTAAATCATATGCATGTCCAATGTATACATGTACATAATATGTTCATGTTCAATGCATGTATCCAAATATGTGTACCACATTTGTGTATGATTGTACGTATTTATGTTTTACATACACACATACATACATTCGACATACATAAATTGTACAGATGTACATACATACTTTCGACATGCATTACATATGCACACGTAATAACTTCCTTAATTAACTCACTAATTCCATACTCTTTTTAAAACAATTTTACTATCCTGAAAAATTATTCCAATAATATTGCAACTATACGCTTCTTTAAAAAATTCACACTTCTCAGTTTTCAAAATTTAACATTGAACAAAGTATTATTTTTTACCCATTGTTGACTTTGATGATATTATACTATTTCTATCTCTTTGCAAGATGTAAGTAATTAAGAAAATAAAAGTACAAAATGAATAGTTGCATAATTTTGTAAAATTTTTGTCAGATAAGATATTTTTCATTGGGTAAATATGTGCGAAAATATTCCATAATATTCCAGACTAAATACTGCAGGTGCAATCTTCGTAAAATATTTTTAACCTTATCTGCTTCTGAAGATGAGAGTAAATATTTTTGAAAAACAATTGAGAATAAAATTTATCTGATTGTGAAGACATGAATTTTGTGTGGTGAAAAATAAACTTTAGTTGAATCTCAATTTTTTTGAAATTTATTTGCTTAATCTGGAACTGCCCCACCGGGTGCATTCAGGAATTATTAATCTTTGAGAAGTATATTTTCGATACAAAGGAGTTAAATGAGATTCTCAACATACTACGGTTAATTAGAATTTTAAAAAATATAATTTTTTTTTGTAACATCGCTCTACCTAAATGGGAGTACCTATGTGGTAGCATTTGTAATAAATTTAGAGTAACTGGCAATAATTTAGAGTATAAATTAACCGGAATCTCAGAAGAAAAAATAGTTTTGTCCCATTACACTAATTTCAATTTTTGCATATTTCGCCACACTTGTGGACTTTTTTTTCCACTCATTTATCTAAAGATAATTCGAAGTAAAAATTTACTTTTTATAATTTTTTACTGTTCAATTTTCCAATGGTCAAAAAATTTTGAATTGTAAGATATACAAGTTCCTACATCAATTTAATCTTCGCAATTTTAAATAACAAACTTCTAAATTTGGAAGGGATCGTTCGAATAGTTCATTGAGAAATGAAAAATTTTAAAAAGTCTTGATTTCTTTGAAAGGGCGGAATACGCAAAAAACGAAAATAGCACTAAAAGGGGCTCGAATTTGCGTTCGCTCTATCATCTAAACTATTGGTAAATATTTTCCATATTGCGGTTACCCAAATCAGTCAAAAACATGTATATTCATGCCGAGAAATTACGGTGTTAACTTGATTTTGTAACTTAAAATATCATATGCTCCAATTAATTAGGCATATTTAAGGTTGGACTTTCAAAGGTTGGGCACTATAATAAAACTTGGTGCATAGTTGTCACCACCATTTTTTGCGTTGAGGTAAACTGAATACATTAAGTACAGAATTGTAGTTATTGTGAGAAAAATAACAATTGTTTGAAAGAATTAGTGCAAATATTACTAAAATTGTTTTGTAAACAAAATGTTTTTGCAATAAACCCATAAATTGATTCTAATGCGTATGAAAATCTGTGTTGTCAGTAAACAAATGATAAAAAGTGAATAAATAAATAAATCAAACTATAACAGTGAAAAGTGAATAAAAAACATGGATATATGAACTGCAAAAAGTTTAGATTGCCTCAACGCAAACACCGGTGGCAACTACACTCTATAAGAAAAAAGTCGACGCACCAAGAAGGAATTGTCCGATTGAAACGAAAATTGGTAGATAGGAAGACAATGTACAGAATAGTAAATGATTGAAATTTCAGAACAATTGAATAATTTATTGCAGAGTTACAGTAACAAGTTCAATATGGTGTTGAGCTAGCCTGAATACAAGCTGCCACACCGCTTGGCATAGACTGATAAAGCTCACGGATGGTCTCTTGCGGTATTTCCTGCCAAATTCGATCCAATTGTCGAACGAGGTCATCAACATTCCGTGCCAGATGCAATCGCCTTCCCATCATGTCCCAGACATGCTCGATGGGAGAGAGAACTGGTGATCTGGCAGGCCAAGGAAGAGTTTGACAAGCTAGCAGATAGTTCATAGCAACACGTGCCGTATGTGATGTAGTCTGGCATTGTCCTGCTGAAAAACCAGCCCAGGGCGCTGCAAAAGGAACGGTAGCAAAACAGGTCTTAGGGTGTCGTCGACGTACCGCTGAGCAGTAAGTGTACCTCCAATGACGACCAAAGGGGTCCGGCTGTCAAAGGAAATGGCACCCCAGACCATAATGCCCCGTTGAGGGCTGGTGTGGAGTGCAATAGTGAAGGCAGGATCCCCCCTCTGCCCTGTGCGTCTCCAAACACGTCTTCGATGATCGTCAGGACACAGTTGGAAGCGGGATTCGTCGCTAAAGACTATACGTCCCCAGTCGGCATCATTCCCGCCATATCTGTTCAAAACATTCATGCAGACGAAATTTCAAAGCAATCGGATGATTGCTTCTTGGTGCGTCGATTTTTTTGTTATAGAGTGTATATAAACCAATTTTATTTTTTTCTAAGGATTGAGTCGTAATACGTAGACTTAATACGTAACTTAATACATAAAATTTACTTTTTATAATTTTTTATTGTTCAATTTACTAATGGTCGAAAAATTTTGAATTGTAAGATACACAAATTCTTACATCAAATTAATCTTCGTAATTTTAGATAACAAACTTCTAAATTTGGAGGGGATCGGTCAAATAGTTCATTGAGAAATAAAAATTTAAAAAAGTCTTGATTTCTTTGAAAGGGCGGAATACGCAAAAAGCGAAAATAACTTTAAAAGGGGCTCCAATTTGCGTTCGCTCTTTTATCTACTCGGTTCTTTCACTCAGCACATTCTAGAAATTCCTCTAAAAATTTAAATTCAAGGCTTTTCTTGATTGCTATATTAAATTCCGTGCATTTTTAGCCAGAGCTTTTTATACTGCTTAAGAAAATTACGCAAAATATCGCAGTTTATTATTGTAATAATGTTAATATTAATTTTGGTCCAATGTATTAATGTTCACCAACGCTGCAGCTCTTGGGCTTATGAAAATATTGAATAGTTATGAACTATACATTTATTTTAATAATTTTCATCCAGGTAGATAAATATTTTTAAATCAGCGAAAATCAATATCAGCAACTGCCGAAAATACAATCGGTAACTACATCGATTTGCGATACTATCGGTGTAAATTGAGTGCGTCAAAAAGTGATTATCTAAGTGCATGATTCAAATAGTGCGTGTAAATTTCTGTAGAAAAGGAAAGTAATTCTTTTTTACTTTTTTTTTTCACTTTTCGAGAGAAAAATCTTTCTGCAACATTCTGCGACAGTGTCGCTGTGATTTTGCCACGGGCTTTGCTATTTAACAAAATTAGGAATTAATCAATGTTCCATAGACATAAATGAAAACTTATTAAATTCATTTTCATTTTGCACAATGCCCTTACTCTCTCCTTAAAAGTTATCTTAATAAACTAAAATGTAACTTTTCAAAACACGCAGGTTCTTCATTGAATAAAAACATTTACAAAAGTTTTCAATATTTATTTACAATTCAATAGGCAGCACTTTTTTTGATATGTACCCTTGGTATAACAAGAAACATAAAAAAATGCTTAAATAATATTTACACTATATTACACAAATACAAAAATGATTTTTCTCTCAATTGACTAACTCATAATCATTTTTGTACAGATACTCATCTAATTTTTAAAAAAATCTGACATTTTCCTGGACATATCAAACATTACCAGAAATAAAATTATAAAAATTTAAGAACATAAATTTTGCATTAATTATGCTTTAGAATGTCCTCAAAATTGAGATGAATTTATAAATCTTTATTTTTTTGAATTCATTATTAAAATAATTCATTCACAAAACGAATATTTTATAGTAGTTTATGACAGTTTTGAAATTAATGACTATTATTAAATTTCAAAACTATAAATATTTTAACTTCATGAAAAAAGTGTACCATTTCATTTAAAATCAGAGTTGCTTATGCAACCTGTAGTCATAAAGAAGCCATAACTCACAAATAACATAAAATGTACCTTTGAAGGACAGCACTGACAATTTCATACATTACAAACAATTAGAAATATGTACAATATTTACATAGATACAAACAAAGATAAGTAAATAATTGTGCGATTCGGAAACAACTTTCCTTATACTCATGCTTATACTCACACAATTTCAAGTTTACTAAATAAGTACTTAAGCAAACATAAGAAATTTTAGATATTAAATATAAAGTAAATCAATCAAATTTTTCATGAACTATAAAATACTTCCGAATATACAAACTAAACTGGCCTTTTGTCTTATTATTATGAGTTTGATTCAAATATAAAATGCTAATAAAAGCTAAAATGTACTTTTTTTACACTAAAATAAAGAAAAGTAATGTATGCACAATGTATGAGTAACAACAGTTTGGGCTCTGGTCATTTGAGCGTGTGTAGCTTGAAATAAAATTGCTGACTCTGCCACCATTATAAAAAAGTTAATTTTTCCTTGTAATACGTTATGTTACTTTCTATAAATTTACAGGTTGAGAAATTTTGGAAAGCGGGAAACTCCAATGTATTGCTACCTTAAACTTTTCCAAAATTAACTATATCATCATGTTCTTGAATCTAATTACGATACTATGGGGCTCAATTTAGGCAGAAATATGGTTCAGTTTAACATTTTATTAAAGTTTTAGCAACTTCAAGCGATATTACAGTTCAAAGTATCAATATTATGGTTGAAAGTTAAATCGAATTTTTGCAAAACGTTAAAGTAATTTAGTATTCCTACTCGTTGTTTCCGATTATAACTGTTAACGTTAGCTTATGTTTATGGTTATGTGAACTGACTAAACAACAATTAAAAAACACCTTGCCCTCATTACACTTGGATTAATCGAACAGAATAAAGAAACTGAAAACGAAACAAATAATAACATTCATGAACTAAATGAAGAAATAAAAATGGCGTAGATAATTTCAACATTGTCTTCCTTCTTTTAGGAACTTTACATCACTAATTAAAAACGAAAAGTTTCAAAATTCTACTGAGACTTAAGCTTCTTGGTGGAAAATTTGGCAACAATAAAAGGTACGGTGGCAACCATTACATATGATAGAAAAGCATTTAGAAGGAAAGCTTGAACGTAAAACATGAGCATGCTGCCCGGAATCAGGCTAACCTTCTCAGATAGTTTGCAAACGCCGACAGAAAGAATGGCACAAGCGATTTTCATGACTAATGAAAACTTTCGCTTAGAATTCTGTTCAAAGCTGTTGCTGTTAAATCCAAAACCCATACCAAACATAAAACCACAGTAGCGCATCATTGAGAAAAATGGCGAGGTATCTAGATGGACATATTCTCGTTTGGCACACCATTTGATGGCTCTGTCCACTGACCACATAGGATTCACACCAATGGCTATGAGGAATGCGTACATGGAAAGTGCACTGCCCAGGATACCTGCAGTAATAAGGCAGTAATGGAAGATGTTCAGTCGTCGTTGGTCTATGTTGTCAAGCCACATTGCAACTAAGCATCCTGTAAACAAATAAAACTGTTTAAATACTTTGATAAAAAACGTCACAATTTAAACACACTGCTACAACATTTTAGAAACAAGAAAACAAAGTTTCAATAAAGAAATTATAGAATTACATTCTATAATTTTTCCATTCTATAACTGCATGAAGTTTCAGAATGGCAAATTTCATCAATATGAAGAACACATATAGGAGTGCAGTAAACTTGTTGTCAACTTGCAGTGCATTGCTTTGCCAATCAACTAAGATAGGTGGTCAACTTATTGAGGAGGTTGAGAAAAAAAATTTTCTAACATCATGTTATTTTTATATGCCTCTTGCTATTTCTTTATTTTTTACCTTTTTCAAATCAAAATAAAGATAATAAAAAGTTTTTAAACTGATTTTAATTATTGATTTGAAACATGCTATATTTACTGTAAAAAGTACAGGCATCCTGTGTGTTAATACTTTTCGTAATTTGATATTTTAATCTGGATTTTTTTTGTTTATCACATTCTTTCTCATTTTAGTACAATTTTTTATCTATTACATCAACTAAATTATCATTACGATCGGGGCATGGCATTGATAATAGTATACTGTAACAAAATAGATTGTTTTTTTATAATTTTTATTAGCATTACGATGTTTACTCGTGTATAATTAAAAGAGATTTTTTTTGTTAAAGCTATTTCATTATTAGTTCAATATTCACATTGTAGTTCGTTCGTTTTTTTAAATTTGGTACATGAAACAATGTTATTAAAACTTATTTTGGAATGTAAACTTAAGAACACTTTATTATGTAGCAATGATTTACTAATCGTTAATAACAGAGGAACAATTTTTTTGCTGCCTTTATACAAATGCTTGATCTTGTCTAATTCGGGTGTGGGGATTTCAAATATGAAACTAGTTTTTCTCCTAAAGCTACTTATTTTTATAAATGACATTTGTAATCTATTTTTTGTCCAAATGTGCGAATATAAGAACGCTATTTGGAACAGAGAGTCTTGGAAATGTTGGGATAAATTTCAAGATCAGTTCGGGGCTATCTTAAGGATTTAAACTGCATAGATATCTATACTTGTGAATGTCGTTGTTCGTGGGTAGAGGTGATTCTCTATTATGACCAGCTCAAAAGCTCTCGAAGAAACAGTTTAGGATATAAAAGGGCCCCTAGTGGCGTATGACGACATTTCTGAGCATGAGTCCCTATGTAGTTTTAATCCTGACAATGTGCTTAAACTCCCTTAGAGGCTTGTTGCAATATTTTTGCGACCCACTGTTCTATATAATGTTTTTTTATCTTGTACATTTCGACAAAAAGAGTATAAATCTCATTAAAAAAAACTGTAGCTCGGAGGAAGAAACCGATTGCAGCTTTGAAATCAAAAATGTGAAAATATTCAATAGCCCTTAAAAATTCTCCTGCAACGAAAGGCAGGAAAAAAATGTATTGTAAAAAAATTTTTTATATGTAATTTTTAAAGAAAACAACAAATATGTAATCTCATTCACACCTGAAAACCCATTATCATTTTTAAAATCCCCTTCTTGTTAACAATCAAGTTTCATTCATGGCCTTATCAGTATTTACTTCATTCCTCTTAACATAAAAAATAAAAATAAAATAGGTTATCCATAATATCTGATTCCGATAACTAGGATACTTATCAATTAGGACGAGTACGACAGTTGCGCGTTTTTATTTCGAAATTTATTGCCTCAAATTCGACTGATTAAATGATGCTAAGAAGTCATTGAAAATTTGTGGGAAGATAAAGCCTGTGCATAACAGGTGAGATGCGGAAATTATGTTTCCCAAAAGCATGCTTCAAATATTTTGATTAGATAATAGGCATCGAATTTAAAATTGCTTTTAAAATTTGTACGATACATTTTGTTGATTATTTGTTAGAATCGTAATTGTTTTATCATTCATTTGTGATATGAAATTATTTGTCAGAACTCTGATTGTTTATAGTTCATAAGTGATATAAAATTATTTATTAGAATTGTAAATCTTCTAAGAGATGTTAAATTGGCAACAAAATAAAAACGGTCATAATAGGATCAATAGTAATTTAGATACATATTTTCTTATTTAATTTTCTAAAGGTTAATTTTTAATTGTATGAAATTATACCTCGGTTTGCACGTTGATGATATGCACATTATACTTTATAAAGACACTTGATTTAGAGGTATACAATATTCACTTGATTTAATTTAATATGATCAGAAAAACCATAGTGGACTTGAAATAGTTCAGCAATTTCTTAACAGAGTTTGAGAAATAAGTTTAAAGAAAAAGAACGTGACCAATGCATTTTATCTTTGCCAAAGATCGAGTTTCAAAATCTTAACAGAGAAAGTCGTAGCTCACAATTATTCAACATTGTCCCTGCTCTGAGAACTACCGGAATATGGTAAAATTTATCATGTTTCTGACTTTATAAGAACATCAAAAATTCCAGTAATTTTTACCGGAGCGCTTTGGTAATGATTTCGATAAAATTAACAATTAAATAAGATTTTATAATATGTGATAAAATTGGGTAAATTTAGTAAAATTTTATCATGATACCTTGCCTTAGAGCATGGAATATGAACCATTTTTTCGGTTAAATTTACTAAGTTTTGTATTTTTTACTATATGTGTAGTTATAAGAACTATAACTTTAAAAAACAGAATTTTTGATTAGAAGGAAAATTATCAAATGAATGGTTTAAGTACCATGTATTTTGATTTCATTAACCAAAATTATGCTGTTTTTTTTTACCATAAATGTCATTACTATAAGGAGCGGTAATTTTACCAGATTTGTTTGCTCCATGTCTGTTTTCACAACGCTATGCCGCAGTGTATACTGATTCTGGTGGTAACCACCATGATCACCAAGTTTGAAACCCCTCCGTTTCTTTGCGTGGAATTTCGCAAAAGATCGTAATTACAAAGCTCCAAATCGTTGTCTTGAGTTGATATTCTCAATGATAAATTAGCTCAATCCCGTTTTCCTTTGAAAGTTATGTAAAATTTCAAATATTCGTTTTTGAATGCACAAAAATTAACCTAGCATGACCCAAGTGCTTCGTCATAACTATATATTTAATCTTGTAGTAAGAAAGTTTATCACATTATATGAAATTTCCTCATTTTATATTATTTTACAGATCAATCAATCTACATAGAATCAAAAAAATTTATCCTAAATAGCAAACTTGTACACTTATTGAGTAAATGGAATCGAATATATGATAAAGCTAACATTTCTTGAAAACAAGCTATAGAATCTGCAAACATAAGTCACACGTTAGGTATTAATTACATGTAACTTACCAACAGCCATTCCAATGAAACACTGATGAGGAAAATGAGCTGCAATGAACACGCGAGAAGCACTGACTGTCATGCAAAGAAGAAAGTAGGCAATCCAACAGATTTTGGTAACCAAGTTCTTGCTGGAAAAGGCACACAAAAAATGTGCATTAGACAAAGACAACAAAAACTATGTCTTACGTATTTTAAGAAATAAAATAAAATTTAGATCAGATGAAAAAATATGCTATGTTAAAATATATTATTTATAACGATCAATCAACCCTTTGATGAACAGCAAATTTTAGTTGCAAGCTTTAGTCAAGTCACGCATTAGCAACTGTGACCTCAGTCAGTGTATTCTTTTTGACATCTCTTTGTTGCTAAAAATTGCAGAACGTTTAGAAGTAAATAGATTTACATTTCTCACGGTTTGTAACATTTTTACATTAACTGCTACCAAGCTGGCAACAATGCACCAGGAATGTTTAATATCTACTGAAAATATGGAATCTAATTTTTTCTGGGTGAGAATTTTTCTCACAACTCATAGTTTCCAGAATAATCAGCCGGTTTCTCAGATAAAAATGCAATTCTAGTGGTAAGAGTCCTAAAAAGAGTGCTCTATAACTTACCAGCTTACATAAGCATTAATAGAAAAGCTGTCGAACGAGATTTGATTACAAATGAATTTTGAAAGAAATATCACGTGTCTTGTTATTCTTATAAACGGCATTTTAGTCAAAGCAGTCTCGAAAATTTGAATGTAAAATAAAATTTTGAAGGTATAAACAAAGCATATTTTAATAAAAGGAAAAGACTCACCTGTTTTTCTTGATGAAACCAAACTTCTTTAGGTATGAATCAAGAATCACATACCAAACAGCAGCTGTCACCATAGAGTGGCCAGAAGGGCTTCCTATATAATTTCAATAGTTAAATTTTAACATCCAGTTACTAACAACTGTAAATATTCGTAACTCGTTATGAATATGTCATACATTATGAATTACATACATTATGTATTATGAATGTTATCATATCATAAATGTTTAAAATTTAAGATTAAGTTTTCAATATTTTTAATATCATTTTAAAAAGTTCCTACTTTATTACTATGTATTTCATTCCCACCCAACATAATTGATCTTAACATAAAATAACAAATAATGTTTGCAGTATACGAAAAAATGTTTGTATTCCTGTTTGTGATCTTTTTCTTTATGACATAAATATTTCGAAAAAATTTCAAATTATTTCAAGGGCTGCAAAGAATTTTGTATCGCAATCTATCTATTAGAAAGAAAACTAATCTATTGAAAAATGTTTGAAAATGGATGGGTAAAAATAGAATAATAGTATTTTTTAAACACTTAATAACGATATTTTAATTAATATTATTTAATATTTTTTAACACTTAATCTCTCGAAAGGATAAATTACATCAATACTCTTTACTCAAATGCACTCAGGCAGAATTTGGACCGAAAAAATTCTTCGAAAAAAAAATTTTGCGTCAGCTATTAAAAAATCTCAAAAAGATATTTTCCATCTAAAATTGAATATTTTCAAGAAATCATAATAAAAATTTTCATATTCGACCCATTTTTATTATTATTTTTATTACTCTTTTATGCTGTTAACATTATTGCATTTTTGAGAGCACGTGAAATCAATGATATACTTTCGGAAGATTTATTTCCGAAATATAACTGAGATTTTTGTGCTATATGCGCTGGCAAAAAAAAGTATGAACAAAACTATCAGAATAGGGAAACTCTATGAAAACACCAAAAAAAGTCGGTAATTCTTATTGAAGCGCTTTGGTACAAATTTTGTCAAAATTAACAATAATCTATGCTTTTATAATACGTGATAAAATTTGGATGATTAATTTGCAAAGAATAAAATAGAAATATGAAAATTAGAAACATAGTTGCTTAGAAATAAAGTTCTACGTACCTGGACCAGTCTCACATGTCATATGAAACTGCTGAATGTCTGGAAACGTAATTCCCGTCCTATTGTAAACTTGTGTTTCGTGGATCCACCAATAAGGTCGTTCTCCATGAAGGGCCCTGTAACGAATTCAAGTTAAAAAATTTACATAAAAAATTAAATAACTAAATCACATATGTGGACATTTTAAGACTAGATTGTAAAAATGAGGTAGTAGTACTTTTGCATAATTCCTAGGGGAAAAATTTAAGCTATTCGGGTAACAAAAAGTGAGCAAGGTTTTTTGCGATTGCTTCCAAAAAAATGGTTCATTCATATTTGTTTTTACAAAACTTGTTGTTATATTAATATTTTATCGCAAGCATAAACATGTTGAATCAAATCAGAAGATCAGAATTTAATTTTAGAAATTATAAAAACTTCTTATTAATGTTCTTTACTATACTTAAAAAGCATAATTTTTCTAGAAAATACCCTTTTAAATTTAAAAAAGAAACAAAGTGAATGCATTTATATTACAACATTTGTACTTAGTATTAATTCTTATAATATTATTTATATTTTATAATAAAAAAATCAGCCTTTGTAATGGTACAACAAAGTCCGAAATATATATTCAAATAATTTTATGAAACATGCTTTGAGGAAAGTAAGTAGCAATTTACGACTTGAGGCAGTATAATGAGCCACATTTTTATAATTGCTTAAGAGAGAATTTTTTTTAAATATTGTTTGGAGAAACAGCACAATTGCCATCAATGAAATAAGATATATCTGTGTCTTGTGCTGTTATCTGGATACTAGCAAAGTACATATTAGGGCACAAAAACTTGTAACAGTTTTATGTTGTGGGGAAAAAACCTTAATTTTGGAAAACATATTTTTATCAATATATTGCTCCAAGCTCGTTATCAGAGTAATTTCAATGCTGAATTTTGAATTAGTCATCGTACGGATTAATAGATTCACACAAAAAAAAGAAAAAAAAACTTTAGCTTTGGAGGAAATGTTTTTATTACTATATTGCTTCAGGCCCTTTATTGGTGAATTTTGAATTAGTCATCGTATGGATTAACGGATTCACAATTTTTAAAAAAAAAAAAAATCTTAACTTTGGAAGGAATGTTTTTATTGCTATATTGCTTCAAACATTTTATTGGTGAAATTTCAATACTGAATTTTGAATTAGTCATCGTACGGATTAACGGTAACGATAAAAAAAACTGTTTTGAAAGAAAAAAAAGAAACTGTCTCCTTACCATTTGAGCATCTGGTTAACCCATTCAGCTATCACAGTTACCCACATGATTTTCTTTCCCACTTTCCAGTCCATAGAGAAGAAAAGGGGAGAATACACTAAAAACGCATATCGGGGATCAAAAAGATTCGAAATCATGAAGAACACATCACTTTGTTGAAGAAATCTACAAGAAAAAAATAAGTCATTAAGAACTCAAATTAGAATTTAAATTTACTAATTTTATAAAATGAGTTAAGAACGACATGCTGTTCAATTTCCATGATTTATTTAGTATTATTTGCTAATTAACGATCATCAATTTAAAATAAGTTTAAATATTACGTTGATTTAGTTTGGATTTATTTGTAAAATTAAACTAGTTAATGAGAATTTAAACTAGAAGATATATGTATAAATACAATATTATTTTCATGGCTAAAGAAATTTTTGTCAAACATCATTCATTAGTATAATACACTATCTGGTTAAAAGTATCTGGACACGCAATGGTATGGACTAAGGGAGTCCTGGGGCACATATTAATATGATGTTGGTCCTCCTTTTGCATCGATGACAGCCTGCAAGACTTTCCACCAGTGTTTGATAGGTGGCCATAAAAATTTACCTCCAGGCTTCCATCATAGCTGAAGCAAAGAATGTGAAAGCTGAAGTGAGTGCTTGCAGTGAGGATGGTCGATTTTGCTAGCTGCGTAATCTGAGCTCTAATTCGTCCCAAAGGTGCTCTACGGGACTTAGATCAGGGCTCTGAGAAGGCCAATCCAGTTTTTGAGCACCCATTTCGTCAAAAAACGTCTGTTCAAGCCTTGATGTGTGAATGGAGCAGTTATTCTTCTGGAAGAGAAATGGCCTTCCCCGAAATATTGCCATAGAATGCATTGTCCAAAAATGCCCACATACATCTCAGAGTTCATGTTTCCAACCACAAGAATTAACGAACGCAGGCTAAACCACAAGAAACACCACCACACCATTATACTTCCATCATAACAACCTGATGTCCGGATTTTTTTGACCAGATAGTGTATTATCGTTGTCTAAAAATCTATTCTCAATAGTTTCTACTAACTATTCAAGTTATCTTTAAAAAGTCTTTTTTTCATAAAGAAAAAAAATATAAAGAAACATGCTTTTTTAAAAACAAAACGAAGGAAAGATTTACGATTATCGATTATATGATAAAATTCTTAATGCAATTTAAATACATTCAAATTTATTGCAAAAAATAAAACGCTTTAATTATAAAATGAAAAAAAAGCAGTAAATCAATTTACCTTGCTTGTAATCCTTCGATTACTTGCACGCTATTTTCATATACTAAGTCCATCGCCCCCTGGAGAATGGCTGCCATGACTAAAAAAATTTAAAATATGTAATACAACAACCTAATAGTTAATTACGAACGTTGCATAAATCTACTACGTCGCAGTTTAAAAATTAATAGTATTCCAATCTATTATTATGCAAGCATTTAATTTTAAAAAAAGATGTCAAAACATAGGAATATTTTTTTATTTTAAAAAACCTTATAGTGTTTTTTTTGTCTGTAATTATTTAGATGGATTGTCTAATTACAATTACCTGTGTTATTGATAATTTATCTTAAAATTACAAGATTAACAGAGAATTACGAGTTAATATTAAGAGAGTAAAAAAACGACCTATATTTATAAAGACATTGCCCAATGTTTTGGTCTTAAAATATGAGATTGCTTGTTCTGTTATGCAAAACGTGACTCGGGCACGAAAGTGACATCAACCTCGCAAAAATTCCGTGTGTCAGTACTCCGCAATCTGAAATTATGCAAGAACATAAAGGCGAACAAACGTGCTAGGAGATACGTTGTTGATCCTGAATTTTCTCTCGACATGATAATCTTAACTACTGCGTTCCTTTTTCTTGAAAGAAAAAAAAAGCAAACATTTTGGCGATATAGTAAACGTTTCTGCATTTTTTTATTTATTTAATTCTAAAATGAAGGTGTGCGGACAATTTATAAAAGTTGTGGCATTAACTTTTAAACGCATTAGATGCATAAAGTTTCATGTTTATTGCAGATCTTTAAATAAATTAAATATGTTTAGAGATATTGCATATATTTATTGCCTATGTTCATACATATTATATATGCCGATACAAATAACATATAAAATTGCATGCATTTAAAAAGGGAACACCCATCTTGTCGCACTGAAGTAAATGCTCGAAAATGGAGTAAAGTCATTAAGGCCTTCTTCACAATTTTCTTTTAAATTCAGGGCAAAATTGTAAGAGAAAGTTTATACTTTGTTTCATTAAATTAAACTGGTTGTAAGTAGTAAATTTAATGTAATCATATTAATTTAAAATAGCGGAGAAATATTAAGCAATCTTGCTTATTAAATCAAAAAGAATAAGAATTTCTCGTCACCTTAATTTTTCAGTTGTTTTAATTAAGGACAACCTTAATAAACAAGGTGCCACAAATATAACTTTAGGAATGTATCGGTATGAAAAATCAATTATTATTTTCTAAAAAATCAATATTTTTATTTGAAACCCCAATTATATTTAGAATGATATATAAATGCTAGAAAAATACTGTCTCACTCGCAACAAAAATCACATTGAACAGAAATTATCTTATTAAGATTGTAACATAAGATTGTGTGTTAAGATTGGGATTGTGTGGAATTTAGAGAGCTAAATATCTATCAAAACTTACTGTAGTATGTAACAATATGAAAAGTACGAACAATACAAAGTGAATAAGTAAAACTAAACGCCTATACATATAAACAAAGTACGATTTACAAAAGAAGAGGGACAAAATAAGAGTATTATTATCACTATAAGAAATACATATGATTTTTCAATAAACGTCTTTATCATTCAATATATTTAGTAAAATATATAATTAGTTAAATAGTTAAATATATATAGAAATATTTTAACAGCAGAATTGTGTTACACTAGATAAATAAAATAGTTTTTGCTTTATTTTCATTAATGATAGCTATTTTGGATAAACTCTCGTGATTTCTTCTTTTCAAAATATTAAAAAATAGAAATAGAAAATACAATGGAAATTCGAAACAAATTTTATTCTAGTTAATGAATATTAAGAGGTGAATCATGTTAATAGACGAACTGTATTAAAATATAGAAAAATTTATAGTTAAAAAAATTAAAAAAATTCCTTTTAACAGTTAAAAAATTCCTCTTATTTGAAAAAGATACCTTTTCCATATCTGCAACTATATATCATGCATATTTTTTTTAGTATGAGTTTAATTATTTCTACTGTTTTTAATAAATCTGGCATTAATTTAATGAAAAAAACATAGTTTTAATTTTATAAAAAATAAATAGCTAAAACTCGATTTATTAGTCTTGGTGAAGTGCAAAACGAATATATAACATACAGCTATAAAAAAACATAAATTAAAAACTAAATAATAAAATATTCAATCTACAAATATGTAAAAATTAATAAATAATTCTTTTAATTGTAGTATTTATAAAAAAAATTTGTTTCATCCAACTTTTACTCTTTTTTCTTTCTTACTGACCTTGAAGCACATAACCTTATCTAATAAGCATTTTTGTAAATATATTTTGTAATGTTAAAATAATAATATTGCAACTATATTTTGTAATGCTAAAATATTTCTGTATGTTTGAACTAAATGTTGAAAATTTCATGGTTAACTGTTATAGTGATGAATGATAAAATAATTTTCTAAACATTTTGTTGAAAGTTTAATTAACTACTGAATAAAGAATACTTTAGGAATAACAATTAAGATGACGAATGGTTAAATAATTTTTTAAATATCTCATAAAATGGTGAATATAATATGAATATAGTAAGAATATAGCATAAATATTGCTATATGTTTGAACTAAACGAAGAATATTTCAAGCATAATTTTATGAATGAAAAATGGTTAATTATTTTTTTAAACATTTTGTAAAATGACGAATTAAAATGCATAAATATCGCTAGATGTTTGATCTAAATTACGAGTATTAAGGAATAACTTTAATGATGATAAACGATTAAGTACTTTTTGTGAAATATTCTGTAAAATGTTGAATAAATAACTGCATAAGTATTACTATATATTTAAGCTAAATAAAAAAAATTAAAGAATAATTCATAATGAGGAATGGTTGAATAATTTTTAATACTCTTATAAAATAGCTAATTAATAACAGCATAAATATTTCTATACGTTTGAACAAAACGGAGAATATTTAAAAGATAACCTTAAAAGACGAATGCGCGTTTAGTAAATGTAACATTAAAAAAATGTTACATTTACTATAACGCGAGGTTAAAAAAATTTTATAAGTGTTTTGCAAAATTATGAATAAATAAGTATTGTTGTATGTTAGAACTAAATAAAAAAAAATTAGCATTTTTCATGCTGGTGAGAGGATTAATACTTTCTTAAAGTAATAACAGCATAAATATCTCTATGCGTTTGAACAAAACGAAGAATATTTTAAAGATAACCTTAAGGACGAACGATTAAAAAATTTTAAGTTAGCAATGATAAATGATTAAATACTTTTTTAAATGTCTTGCGAAATGTTAAACAAATAACTGCATAAGTTACGTTTCAACTAAATGAAAAAAGGATAATTCATGATGACAAAAAGTTAAATATCTTCTTAAATATCTTGCAAAATATTGAATTAATTGCAGCATAAATATTTATATACGTTTGAACAAGACGAGGAATATTTATTTTAAAAGATAACCTTAAAGAACGAATGGTTAAAAAAAATTAAGCTTACAATGACGAATGGTTAAATAATTTTTTAAAAATCTTGTAAAACTTTAAATAAATAACTGTATAAATATAACTAAATGTTTTAAATAAATGCAGAATGTATAAAGAACAATCTTTATAATAAAATTCTTGCACAGGTAAAATAAATAAAGCCATTGAAAAATATTTAAAATACGGTAATCGTTTTCATTTATACTTTTCATAAGCAATGATAAAAAAATAAGTATAAAAAATTAATTACTGTTGCGTAGAAATTATTTTTAAAAATTTTAAATAATTATATTATTAAAAATTGTAATTAATTATTAATATAAAGAAGTATATTTACCGGGTTTAAAGAAGCAACCACTGATGATGAGCAAATAACAGGAAATTGGTTTGATAAACCTTCTCTTTAATTGAGTTAACTCTTAACCGCTTTAGCATCCGGTAAGAAGATGGGTAAAATGTCCATACCGGATAATTTTCAGATATTTATACCCGAGATGGCTGGGACAGCTGTTTACGATATCCACAACTTATTACGTCAGTTTCTTTTATTTTTCATTTTTCCCCTCCGATCAGATAACCGCTCTTCTTCCTTTATTTTATTATTCTTTTCACTTCGCTCTGATTAGAGTTGTTTGTTATTCGAAGAAAGGTCTTTCTTACCATTTTGCTTTCTTTATTAATTGATTTTATTCCGTTGTAATTAAATTGCAACATAAAGCGGCGATGTTTTTGACTCAATTAATTTTAGTTTTTTTTTTTGTTGTTGTTTCAAATGGGCATTTGAGTGATATTTTTATTGGAAATAAAGCCTAATATTTCATGCATCATACATTTCATTCAATTCGCTATTAAACCTGATTGCACTACTTACAAATCTAAAAATTGTCTGGTTAAGTCTTTTTTTTAAATTAAAAACTTAATGTTTTAAATTAACTTTCAGACGATACACAAGCGAAATTTTTTGAGTAAAATTTATAATTTCCTTTTGCATCTATTCATCGCTTGAGAAAAAAAAATCCTAATATTTCATTCATAGTCATGCAAATTAATTCTTTATTCATAGTACTTGCTTAACTTTACAAATTTAAAAAAGGTCTTCGTGAAAAATTATATTTTTTCTATTTAATGTTTAATTTATGTGCCTTTTTATATTTTAATAAAAAAACGAACAATTTTACAACAAATTTTTAAGAAAACGATTCTACATCTAACGCAGTTTCAAAATCGTTTTCTTATTCATAATTTAAGCTTTTGATCTGAAAGAAGTAAAATAAAATACTCAAATTCACTCTTTTTAGTTACAGTTATTTCACAAAAATATATTGTAAGTTGTGTTTAACAAATACAAATTTTGATATAATATTTCATTTTCATAAAAAATTCACATTTTTTTTCATGAAAATGTGTCTGTTTTTGCTCTTAAGGTATACATATATTTCTTTAGTTTGGATTTTTAATGATATAGAACAATATGCAAAGATATTACTACTAAACTTCATATTCTCATTCTACTGTTAAAATTCCAATTGGTAAGTAAAATTAATTTTATTACAAGAATTAAGTTAGAAATGAGAACTATAATTTATTATATATTGATTTTTCTCTTCTTGTTTGAAACTATTGTCATTTGATCATTCAAGACCAAGAAGTATGTGTGTGCGTGTTTCTTTTAAAAAATTTGTTTCAAAACATTATAATTTGTAAAGAGATATCATTTTAATCTAAATAACATTTTAAATAGGCAAACTATCATTTTAAAAACATATTATTCCATATTTAGTGCAAGTTATCGTTCATAATATTGTTTATTACTATATTATGTTAGGAACAATATATCAAACTAAAATTGAAGTTGATTTAAGTGAAAATTAGATATGAAGGATACGAAAAACGACAGTGTTTTCTGAAATAGTTAGTTCATTTAAGTATTAGTGGTATTTTCAAAATAATTTATAACTGTATTTAAATTATCCATTCATATATTTTATTGTCAGTTTCAGATTTGACATAAACTAATAAGAAGTTAATGTTAAGAGCTGCCAGCACGGAGAAAAATAATTCTGGTAAAATTACAAGAATGTACGTTTATAACATTTTTAATAATAATAATAATATAAAAAAACCACAACATAATTTTGTTTCATAAAATCCGAAATATACAGTATTTAAAATATACAGTATTGATTTGGTAATTTTCTTATTAATAAGGTTACGGTATACCGGAAATTCTGGTTTTCAAAATTGTTGTTCTTATTTCCACACATTTAGTAAAAAAAAACTAAACCGAATAAATGGTTTTTATGCAAGCTCTAAGGTATAAAATTACCAAAATTTATTACTTGCTATGAAACCTTATTTTATTGTTAATTTTACCAAAATCATTACCAAAGTGCTTCAGTAGAAATTACCGAGCTTTTTTGTGTTCTATTAAACTCGAAACTCGATTAATTTTACCATATTCTGGTAGTTTTGACCATATTCTTTTTCAAAGTGGAGTGCTTTCTATATTTAATTAACTTCAACAATTGTATGATTTTTTAAATTTTTACAATTTTCTTATTCATTTATCTACATTAAATGTTCGAATTGTAATATTTAAAACACATTAGGATATAAAGTGTGTATTATAATGTTTATAATATTTTAATTGACATTAAATTATGTATGATGTAAATCTACTTCAATACTTCAAAGTAAAACTAAAATTTCCTTGAAAATAAAAATTAGACACTGGTGTTTTCTATTAAATAGAAGTCATTTGTTTTATTAGTATGATTTTCATACATTTTATAACTTTACTCAAACGCATATATCTTTTATTGCTATTTTAGTAAGATATATTATATATTCAATAACAAGGAACTGGTACACTGAGAAAAATATTCTGGTAAAATCACCTCACTGTATGATAATGACATTTTTGGTAAAAGTAACCATAGTTCTGGAATTAAAACCCAAAATATACGGTGTTTAAACTATTCATTTAGTAATTTTTCTATTTATATTGTAACGATTTATCTGAAATTCTGTTTTTTAAATTTATAGATCTTATTTCCACATTTTTGGTAAAAAAATTTCACATTTTTCGTAAAAAAATTTCACATTTTTAGTAAAAAAATGTTCTAAAGTATTATGATAAAATTACCAAATTTCACCTCATTTTCAAATTTTATGGTATATAATAAAATCATATTTTATAGTTAATATTACCAAAAACATTACTAAAGAGCTTCGATAAAAATTGCCGACCTTTTTGGTTTTCCTATAGGGCCTGAAACACGGTAAATTTTGCCATATTCTGGTAGTTTTGACCATACTTTTTCTCAGTGTAAGTTCTCTGTATTTTCTAAAATACTTATTTTTTCCTAAATTTTGCCATTATTCTTTCAAAATATTATAACTTTCTTATTAGTTTATATATTTTATTATTAGATTTAGATGCAATATAAATTAAAAGCAGCCAGTGCAACGAACTGGAACTTGTCATAAGATAGTTGCTTAAACAGCTGTGTTATTGTTAGTACCAGTGTCTATTAACTTTGTTTTATACTCATATTTCTGCGCCACATTTCCTATGTATGTCAGGAAAATATTTACAACTTTATTTGTCCTAGAAATAAAATACTACGCAGCTTTTCATCCCGAAAATATGATTGCAACTGGTTTATTTCTTTCATAACTGAATACATCATGTTATAGCATTAATTCATGTAGTAGCATAAATTAAATGAATCAAAACGGCATCAAAATCATACATATTTAATCAAAAAGACATAGGCTAAAAGTAAGCTATAAAATCCATTTTTTAATGAGTTTCACTATTAATATTGAAACATAAACCACTTGAAGACTTACATAAAAGCATAAGTTCTTAACCTATGCTATAGACTACACAGCAAACTTGGGTGATTTTGCTCTCCAAATAGGATGGAGAATTTTCTCAAACAAATAACAGGAACATTTACAGGAAAAAGGAATATTAACGCCTGACACGAACTTAGTTGCTAAAAATATAATTACATATTGAACTGTGATATCATTCCAAAGTGTAAACTTTTAAAGCACTAAATCAAACCCAGTTTATTACTATCAAAGTTTACATTAAATTTTGATCTTACTAACACGAGAAATTTGCTTGAAGCTATAACTCTGGTGTATTATCCCATTATGTTTTGAAAGAACACCCAACTTCTTGCAATCAATAAATTAGAATATTTCCAAAAAAAATTTTTAAAAAAAGTTATAGTTTTAGCAATAATGCAAAGTGGTTCCAATCTTACATCAAATTTAAAATTTATAATTTTAAGTTAATCTTTTGATTAGAAACTATAACTGAACTTAGATAACTCTTTCTGTCGTGTTCTAATTCTTTTTATTGAGATAAGATATATTAACGAAAATTTAACGTAAATTATGTTGCTCATACTTTGATCGCAAGAGGCTATATTATGCAAACTAAAATTATCTTTTCTCACTTTTGATCTACTGATAAAGCTGGAAAAAAAATATGATAAAATGCAAAGTCTGGAGCCGAAGGTTAAGTATCTGTAACTTAATACTTATACACTAAGATCATAAAACTTCGTTTAATCTAGAAAATATTTTAGATCATCTTAATTCTCTTCCTCAACTGTAATTCATACACTTTCGGAAAAATCGTTGCAATGTTGATCCAAAATATCACACAAATGAATTGCATCCTTAAAAATTTTCAGATTTTTTGTTCCGTAACATGTTTGGGTAAAAATGGATTTTATGGTGAAAAGTATCGGCACCCTGAGTGCCGGTACTTTTTAGTGTAGTTTGATTCAAAACTTTTTACAGTGAACAGAATTCGTGTGAACCAACTATCGCTGGGATTTGAATCGGAATCCAATCATATAGAGGCGAGTGATCTCCATTAGGCTCCTCGCGCTCTATTTTAAGTTTAAGACTATTTCATTTTTAGAATAATATGGCATAACTAAGAATTTTATTAAGGCAGCAAGAAATTCGAATGATGTTATAGTTCAACGACGACCGAAATTTCCAACTGGGTTGAGCACATTAGTTATTTTTCTTTTCATCAACTCCAGAAAGCATTCGTATAAATAATTTTTTTTAACCATTATGGTATAAAAGAGAACTATCTGGGCAGCTTTGGCACCTTAAGTCATAAAAGCAATGATATAGTTGCTACTTGCTTGCATATTTCGTATGACTAGCTTAAATTTGTAATGACTGTTCCATCCAAAAAGGACATATTAACGAGTTTAAAATGTCTGCTTAAGGTCTTTAACAACATTACTATTGAATTTAGATAAGAAGTGTAAAAATTTAAATCCAACTGGAATCTAAATTCATAAACAGACGTTAAAATGAACTTATTATCCTATATTTGTCCTTGAGCGTAGTTCATGGTCATTGCGGAAGTAAAAAAGGAGATAAACAAATTTTCAAAGTCACTGTAAGTAAAAACAGATAGACTTAAGGAAATCAAGTGTTTTTCAAATTAT